TCTGAAAATTCACCATTATTTTATGTTTTCGACACCTGCTTACAAATGAGTTCCACTGTTTCAGTAAGTAGTACAACGGTGAACAAGGAAACATTTGGAGATATCGTATGTTCTTCAATTATATTCACTTTTTCTACCCTGGAAATAAAATCAGGTACACCTTAAAACTATTCTTTACAACTTGCTTGTACTGGAGTTCCAGGACCTCGACTAACCCCTTCATGATATTTGGATATGACGAACTGCATGTACGTCAAACCGAACAAAGAGGAAGTTGGAGTTTGTGGACTTCACATAGGCCATTGGTTGGAGATTCTAGGTGATGTGGCTGAGAACCCATGTCAGTGGCGCAGATTTATACACACATTATCCTCATCTTAACGCTTCACCGAATCTCACTATTTTCCCATCCTTCCTTTCTCTCTTTTAATATTTTATATTTCTTCTGACTGAATTTTATTTTCCTCATCTAGCACCTCAGTGCTTTTTTACTTGATGTACTGGTATGAGGTGTGGCAACTCGAACCGTTATGCAGTAATGCCTTGTCCTATGTTGACTTGGATAGATGTACGGATGGATGGACATATGCCATATATCCATGGTGTGTAGTTGGTAATAGTCAAGCTAATCAGTTTTTCCATTTATGCTTGCATTTTCAAATTCAGGTGCTGCTGTGGAAAAAACTAAATATTGTGTACTACCAGGCAACTAAACGAACACCTTGCCCAGCACCTACCTTTGTATCTATGAAAGGGATAAGTGAAGTCGATACAAAGTTTAATTTTGCTGCATTTAGTCCATAGATAGTCCATAGATAAGACCAATTCGTTGAAAATAACCTATTCAATCCGACAAAATCTGCTGGATGGAATTCTTATTCACATATAGCAAAAAGCTGAGGTTGTGGTGGATTACAGAAAACAACACCGGTCTTTGTATGCAGAGAAAGGTTGTACAACCCTTTTCTCTGCCTTGACCAGAAAAAACCTAATAAACTATTCGAAAGATAAATTTGTCTTGTCAACTTCTTCCCTTCACTTGACCCCCTTCATCTACATATATCTTAAGACTTTGACTACCTAAGTGTTTCATTCTTCAGTATTATGCAGCTTGTATTTTTGTAAGATTTGACCTACATTGGATGTTTAAATGTCTTCAGCAGCACGTTGTTCTTTATCCTCTATGATTAGAATTATTATTCGGGCATTTACCATTTACAAGGTGTACAAAATCTTTAATTACATAAAAATTCGCCAATGAACTAGAGGCGGAGTCCAAGACGCTAAGTTTTCTGGACTGCTGGACCATGCTAAATAATTACTTAGCACTCTTAGTGATCTCTATGGAAAAGTTACACATTCTAAAAAATACCTCAAATATGAATAAGCTCACCCATAGGAAAATAAACAACACAAATTTCCTTTTGACGAGATTATAAAAAATGCTTAATTCACTAAAATCTCAGAAAGCTGATAGACAAATTGTTCTGGAAGTCCTAGAACCCATCATCTATCCAACAAACTTACCATAACGAATAGAAAAACGTTTTGTGGAAAAAAGACAACAGAAATCCAACTCAAAACGATTGGATAAGTACTGTTATAATTTCTACATCAGAAGAAATTATCTGTGTACTTATTAGTTACAGCATTCAGGTGTTCTGTAGAATGACGAACACTGTGCTTTCACACTTGTGCAAATCAAAACATCCGACTCCTAATTTCGAATAACAGAACTCTCTTTATAAGGTAGACTATAGTGAATACGCTGCTACACACAATGTTGAGACATTTCACGTACTGACACGTTCACTGGAATATGGTCAGAGTTGCAATAATCTACGGAAAATTGGTTTAAACTAGTAAACGTTAAAAAATCTCTGCTTCACGTCGCATAAAGAATGTCCTGTCATATGATATCATTTGAGGAATTGGGCATTCTTTCAAATGTTTACCTTGTTTTAAAAGAGTTGGCTTTCGATAAAGATTTCCATCTTTGTATGTACCCTTCTGTGGTCAGCAGAAAGATACCTTAGTTATGCCATAAATATAATAAGCATAATGACTTGCATTGAAAGTGCTAAATGATATACACTTAGTTGGTTGAGCTTAGTTTAATTACGCACGACTCAGTATGGTTTGTTCACATGATATCTCACATGGTAGTTGGACAAAACCCTTTCGGGACAGGAGTTTATCTCCTAAGTCGGTTGAGTACAGGGCTGATAACCTGGAGGCCACTGGTTCACTTCCTGCTTCTACCTTGATTTTCATTTCATTTCAGTCATCATTCAGTATCAGCCAGGTAGCCAAACTGATAACCAACTTTTTAATATAGTAGTTTAATTTCATTCTTCCCTGTTGTCTCACAACTGTATTGTATATTTCTCCGTGAAACCGAATTCCTCACAGTACGTTTGTACAAACGGAACAACCTGGATAATCCCCTTTGACCGGTTTGCTAAATTGCTCACATAAATTATATTGATCTTTGCTCTGTATCACGATCTGAGTGAATGATCGTGAAGGTCAAATATCAAATATAAATGTTAACCTGAAAACTTAATATTCGATTGCTGCTGTTGGATAGGGTCTTCCTAGCAAGATCAAAGCTTTGAGGAATAATACTAAGTGTTTGTTTCACTTTTGGTCTTAATATATTATGTCGGGGCTACACAAATAGGTTATACCTTACATAAGTCACCAATATTTCTTTATTCACACAAAGTTTTCTGAATTCGATTTGTATAAGATTCTGCGACTGTGAAGACTTGACTTTCTTATACCGCTGTCTGCTGGCTAGTGTAAGTGACTTGACAGAGTAGCTGTTGCAGCTAGAGTTTAGGAGTTGCTCAGTTATTAAGTTCTTGGAGTCTTGACTCAAGAACTATATTATCATTTAGGCAAGTACTCACCACACTAGAAGACCACAGTCTTTCCATTTGATCTATATATTTGCTTCCACAGGCATATTCGAGTTTCTTTATGCAGTTGAGAGTGTCGATAATAGATGCTTTTTGTTTCTTATAGCATTTTATTACCCACTTTCTAGTCCTAAGGGACACTAATTTTACATAATTTAAGCTATTCTTATGGCTATATTGACTCTCCATTTGATTATGTCACACAAATCGTCTCTTTTAAATGAGACGTTGATATATACTGACTTCTTTTGGGCTGTGAAGATAGTCTGTTTCGCCTATAGGTTTCTAGAGTGCTTGCCGATGGAACGCTAGGGATATCCCTATCTCGATAGGATTTCTTTGGAAGCCTTTATTTCATTTAAAGTGCATACACTGTCCGGTTCGTGGTGTTGTTTTCTGTATCCATAAAGAAAGATTACACTTTTACTGGAACATTTGCATATTGGGTTCCACGTATTCTCCACGATATGATGCTAACCAGTAGGAGTTAAAAGAAGCTAATAAATTATGTCATCCTGACTGTTACTTTCAAAGTCATTAGAATGATGTTTATGTAGAATAACTTAACTGTCGTGTAACAACGATTGCCGCTTTTCAGCGGTATGCACACATGACCTCTCTAGGAACAGAACTTAGGACTTAAGCCAGTCGCGGTGAAGACGTGAACCACTCAGTTACCAGATCTTTTGCTGAATAGTCAATAATTTCCTACTTCTATCACTTCACGATGTAGCGCGACTATCAACCAAGGTCTTCAGTTGCCATCTACTTTACTTCCAACTGGTTGACCCCATAGGTGACTGCTTCTCATTAGAATTTCGAGATATCCACGAAAAACGTCATTATGAACAAAAAATAATCATCGTCATAATGTCTGCTGAGAATTGATTACAGCGTGTATCCTAGTAAAAAATTAATTGAATACAAATAGCTTTCTTTTTTCCATGCGAATTTTTTATGTGCTCTTCTTTCTCTAATAATATTAATAGTCTAAAACGTTATTTTTTCCTGGGGAAAATTACTTTTCAAGTAAGATAATTTATTGTTATTTCAGTAAAACAGTATTACTTAGCATATCTAGGGCATATAGAAACTGAGTAGATGAGTCTGTTGCCTTGATAAAGCTTTTATATAAGTGGATTTCCATTTACATTCTATTTCCAAGACTTTTTCTTTAGCTAATGAATGGCTTGAATTATTACTTTCAAAGCCATGTGAATAAGCTGATCTGCACATTTTCAATTACGTCTCATAATAAATAAATGGTTTGTTCGATTTATCACCATGAGAGTGCGATGTAAATGCTAGTCAAAAATGAAGATGTTTTCAAAAATGAAGGCTAGTCATTTATTTGCATATGATAGTGTTTTAACTAGAAAGTATAATGGTATAGCTTACTTAGTAGCTAGATATGGAATCTGCGATTCGCGTGCCCTCCTACTTGGGACTCGTCAGACACGTGAGCCTGCATCCCGTTGGAGGGTGGTGTTCTCATTGAGACTTGAATCCAGTGCACATCACTTCAGACGCCAAGAGAGTCATCCGCTAGGTCACTTGTGTACAAAAGCCACCTCTTATACAACCGATATCATTTGCTATTTATTGGTACTTGTAATGTCGCGCTGTCATCCTGGATCGAACTGCTTGACCTGTGCTGGCAGATGGTCTACTATGCAGTACTAAGGTATTCACATAGGAGACCATCGACTGACAGAGTTAGGAGGTATAATATTCAGCGAATGTAACGACAGGTAACATTTTGCATTCTTATTAATAGGCCTACAATTTAATTAGTTTTATTACTTCATGCTTTTCCTATAACAGCTAAAAGCTATATATCAACCACTGCGTCGGCGGTATAACTGAAATATGTTCGGTGATTTGTTTAGGCTTTTAGATGGGAGGCTGACTTAAGTCTCATCAGAAGCGATGGTGTATTCCAATTAAAATACCTTATAGTTGCAACCAACAAGTTTACTATTTGTGAATCAGCTAAAGTCATTCATCTAATTCTACTATCAAGAGCATAACGCTAACGACATCGCAAAAAGGTGTGGGAATCTAGCAACAGAAGATCAAAATTTAAATCAGATTTACTAATATCTTAAAGAAGTAGAACACAAACTAACTCAGAGGAGATGAAAACCTCAAAAGTTATTATCATCGGACTACTAAAGTTATGTTCCTGAAGATTTCCTCTTAAAAAACGCCTCAGAAAGATCTTGTTATCTTCACTGGCTTTTTCTAAAAAGTAACCAAAAATTGATGTATCAATGGTAAAAGCACAGAGTTTATTAGATAATTAATATTTACAATAAATTTCTTTATAAATGTCTTGTCATTAGGGGAAGAAAATTTAATGATTACAAGTTAGTAGCTTTCAATGCAAAGTTACCTACATAAATCCAACTTTCTGTGTAGGATTAAGTATTAGGACAATTAATTCATGTAGGATTTCATCACGCTAACAGTTGGTGAATAAGATTTAAAAACACGACAAATTTTATCACTTTGTTCTGTACACTACTGATTAAGAACTCAGTAGTTATTAGTAACTTTACTGCAAAAGATGAAAATTTCAAACTAGACTGGCTAGTGAAACCAATCAGTTACTGGAAGAATATGAATATTACTGTTTTGTTTAGTTCTCTCCAAAACGGAGATAAAACTTTTTGTATTCATAGAATAAGGAAGAAAAACTTAAAGGCTAGTTAGTTAGTTTGTATAGCACTACTGCATCAGGAGGAACAATAACAAAGAATAGTACAAATAAAAGAATAAGGAAACAAGTGATTAATTCTCACATAGTGTATTAAATGTAAATGCTCAGATACATAAAACTTTTAATACTTAAGAAAAGAAAGACTTTTTCATCAATACCAACAATGCTGGTTTCACATAGGAGCAGTATTCGGTAGGTGAATTAAGCATTTCTTTCTTCGTTTCCTCCTCCAATTTTCCTTAACCCTTTAAGCAACTATTAAAAATTACATTCTCATATTCAGATTTAAAAAAGATAAATCTCAGTGATGCACAGTTATCTTTATTTTGCCTACCAAAATGCAAAACGTAAAAGGGAATTTGAATGTGACGCATTCTAGGAATTGAAGAATATGTGGATATCTTTTACTACTAAACTAACAAAAAAATGTGAATGAATATGAACAATGATACAAAATGACCAAACTTAAACATTAAGATATTCCTATTCTAACATAGAGCCTTTTTACATGACAATTTTTCAACAGAAATTAGGCAACAGACTATAGTATTTTCAGTCAAATTTTACAGAGTAATCCTCTGCTGATTAGCATTTACCGAAAACAATAAGTGAAAATACAATAATCACGGGTAGAAATAGAATATCTTACAAATTAATCATTAGACAATATAAGCATGCTAAATTACAATAGATTATTCAAATCTCCATTTTTTAAGTCTAACTTCAAGTGAGCTGTTTACGTTTTGAACTCTAATTTTTTGTATAAGTAAGTGCTCATCACTGAACATTCTACAACTTTCTGAATGCTACAGTGTAAACATTTCAGTAATGACATGTCTCTTAATAATTTAACTTTTTCGGTAATTAATAAATGCATGAATCTACTTATAAGTTCTAATTGCCTGAGAACTTTATGCAATAACAACCTTTTTTATGGAAGTATCACCATTGAAAGTTCTAAAATTGAACAACTGAAAGTTGATTATAGGTTCATTTTGAATCTACACCTCTGATACATCTGTTCGTACATGTCAATTGAACAAATGAATATGAAATACTCCTTGAAGGCATTTAAACAAAAGTCCCCCTTCTTATAATCATAGAGTGACTATGAGTAGAGAATACAACGGCCGATAATAACAGTATTAGCGTTAGAAGATTTACTATCACTAGAATGATAAAAAGAGCTCAAGCGTTGGTAAAAAGCAAATATCCATCTATCTATATGCACATTTTCCTTGACAAACAAAGTTTGTTTGTTGTACTAAATCAAAATACTTCAACCAACCACTTCACTTGTATTTGTAGCATTATAAAACGGTTGAGGAAATAATATTTGAAACGAAAAATATTCTCTCTGTGTAGTTTGCTTATCTGTGGTATGTATCTTATGTGGTCTCTTCTGAATCTTCTCCCGATCTTGGAAAGTACAGCAGTATAGAAATGCCCAAAGCGCAGAGGTAGATAACAAAAAATAAACGATCCAACACCATACCTACTGCTCTCCATTCAGAGATAATTTTATTATTCTTCTCCTTTTTCTCATTCTGTTTCTGCATGAAACGTATACCTTTTACGATTTCTGAAACATCACGTGTGACCATGCGAACACGTTTAAGGAGATGTTGATCACAGTCGTTATTAGGTTTTTTATATTTAGGACCGATAAAACTACTTGAATTAGCTCTCCATAGATTACCATTGTCTGCATCTGCATTAACTTCCTTGTCTGAATGATGATTTGGAACACGATGACTGCGACCCCCAACACTATGTCCAGCTGAACTCCATCTTGGTAGATTCATTTTATTTATTTCTTCTTCCTCTGAATCATCTTGACATACTGGAGATGTGAATGGATAAAATGGGGATGTTGGTTGACCACTTTGTAAAGAACTGTTCCATTTTGTGTTAGCAGCTGATATAGCTTTCTTGGACGCTCCAGGCTTGATACATTGTAGAAGAAAGTGTTCTAAATCGGGTCCAACGTTTCTGTTCCGCGTTGAATGCATATCATCTTCATCATCAGTCGCCTCATCTTCATCTCCACTTTGCTTATTATTCTCATTATATCCACGTGATGATAAACGTTTGTAATGCATGTTAGATTCATTGATTGCAGCTGTCCAAACTGCTGCTAATTCATCTGTTGGGTCATGTGTAAAGTGGTTCTTGGGAGTTGTTTGCATGGAGCACTGTTGTTCACCGTAATATGCTGGGTCAGCATCATTATATGCGCCAGTGGATGCAGCAGCTGCAGCTGCTAGACCCGCACAGGCAGGGCAAAAAGAACATGGAACAGCTTGTTCATCTTCTCGTGTTGGTCTCCTACTGTATGGGGGAAAATGTTTCATTTGAGAGTTATTATCAGTATAATAACAACCAGGATATTTGTGGTTTGGTGATCCTGCTGGAAACTGTGATTTCATATGCATTTGACGAATATTACTTTCGTAGCATTCCGGTGAACAGAATTTATTACCATATGGTTTTCCATAGCGATTTAGTTTGGGATTGTCTGAAAAAGTGATAAAACAATAGCTGTCTACATGTCGTAAGTTACCAAAGACTATGAAAATTAACTGAAATTTTGAACATTTACAGATAAAATATTTCAGCTTTTGTTTCATATTGACCTAATATATGTTTAAATTCATGTTTATTTATACCAAATTGACTGTCTCAATGAAGAATTCAATTCTTTTCTTCTACTTACTAATTAGTTTACGGTTTCAGACGTTCGTTAAACTTGTTAAAAAACTGGTCAGTCGCCATCAAATGTTTGTTTCAGTATTTTTGTAACCAGTCATCTTACCTTCTTGTCATCCTCATGAGAAGGGTTTTCCTATGATTGTTTAACGCTTCTGGATGCATCTGATCTCTGTTTTTATTCGAGAACGTAACGTTTTTGGCACTCAGTTCCCATTCCATTGCTGTCCAAATGTAAAATGTTATGCTGTAATCATATGCATTAAGTATGGTTGGATTTCTATAGTCAGTAACAATTTATTTATATGATTTTAAATAGGTAGTGGAAAATTAGGGAGGCTATATATATATTCATCTCATTACGTCAGCAGTATTCAAGCTGATCAACGGAACCAGACGTAGAGAATTCAGAATTCACTTCTTTATTGGTTTGGGCAATCAAGCCTTATTTTGAGAACTTAGGAATTGCGATAGACGTTTCTAAACCTTGTTCTACATTTTTCACAAAATTAACAAACATTCATTGACATTTGTAATTTCTTGTTGCTATACTAGGTCGAATCGCCTAACCTCCGTTGCAGATGGGCTTCTGTGTGGACGCTTCGATACCGCCTAGATACTTATTATATTGTAGTCTATTTGGAGGCTAGCAGTGGAATCCAGGCAGCATGTTCCCTCCTATTCGGGAATCGTGCCTCAGTGACCCAGTGGATAAGGCTTCGGCATTTGAAGAAATGGGGAATGGGTTCCAGTCTCAGTCAGAACAACATTACTAGCTAGGGTGTACGTACATGTGGCTAATGAGTCCTAAACACGATGAAACATGTGTCCTGGACTCCACTGCTAGCCCTCAAACAGACGTTAATATGAGGAATATCCAGGCAGTATTGTGACATCTGCACAGGAACCCATCTACCAAACGAGTTAATGCATATCAACCAAGTACAGCAACGTGAAAAAAACAAGTGTCAATAATCAGCTATGAGTTTTGTTAGTCGTTGAATTTCACAATTATGTTATTCATATTTCATGCGTAGGTAATGTGAACTACCAATGCTTTTGAGGGGTGAATTGTCGTGATGAACTTACCAAGGAAAGGATAAGTTTTTGTGTGGAAGATCTCTCTCAAGTTAGTTCTCCCTTTATCATACAAAGTAATCGAGAGCATACTAAAATTGCTGTGTTGTAGGTAGAAATATGAGTTGAGCATGCGCCTTAATTTTACTAGATCAATATTTTGTACTAACCAATGAATTTTCTTTAGGGTTTCAAACAGTACAAGGCATATATCGGTAAGCAGAATAAAATAAGTCTATATTGCTCAATAGTTTCTAGTTAACTGCAAGCAGCTGTTAAATAAGTAGTCAGTGAAACGTATAAATAAAGGTAATTCTTTCGTCTTGACTTGAGATACACCCATCTGGATAGACAAAAATGCACGCTAAACCATACATTGTTCATGAAGGACTGGTAGTCTTTCATGATTTATCATGTGAATAATAGTTCGATGAATCAAGCTTTAAGTCCAATTATAAATTGAGCTTTAAAAAATATTTAGATAATTCATTTGGTAAAACATCCATCAATTCTAAAATATGAACCACTAAGGAGATCATTTAAGTATCTAAAACCTAACTGTAAATGAAAACTTACCGATAAACTGTTCGTTGAATTCACTTCTCATAAGCGAAAACCTTTTAGGATTAAATGAATTTCCATGGAGTAAATTGTCTGGTGGGATAATAAAAGCATGTCCACAATTTGTGTTTCCTGCAGTCTTGTCAGACATCTTGTTAGAGGCAGCAGGAGGAGGTGGACCCCCTGGTGGGCCAACATTGACTAGTAAAATTCGAGCCCCATGATGCAATGCCAACTGAAACGATAAAATGAGTGAAAAAGATGACTTTTGTGTCATTTTATAATGTGAGCGTTAACATCATTGACTGAATATGTAAACAGTATACACCTTAAAAAAGTAATTAGTCAGTGTAATTTAAGACGTAGTGAACCATGATTACACAATAAAAACTTAATATTCAGACAGTACATATAACATTCAAGTTCATTGCATGTTCTCATCCAGATATAACTTTTATTGCGATTTGTAGGTCTCTGGGGATTTAATGATTGATTTTAGGTTGGTGCTCATCATGGAGTGATATCAACTGGAGAACCATTGGAAAACTCGGAGTACCGAAAAACCGTTTCGTCTCAACATGAGACTCCTCGTCATTGATCACACGCAACCTCACCAGGTACCGAACCCAGGGACTCCAAGTTCTGCGGCCAGCACTTTACCGGTAAACCCCTGAATTAGGATCCGATGATCCATATTCCCTATTTCTGTCAGTTTGCGACATAGTGACACCTTCCACAACATCTAGTTATGCTTTTAATCCTGTCTAACTGTGTAGATGAACGTCAGGAGTTTGTTGTTGAGTATATAAGCTTCATTTATAAAAGTTCTTTCAGATTAACCTTATAATGATCAAGTGACTTTATTCCAGTTGTAACTCACTTTGAGGAATATAAATAGTATCAGGAAAAGAATATACTAAGGCCTAAATTGTATCAATTATTTGAATGTATATAAGGTTATACATCGCATCAACCCCTTACCTAAATTCAAGTACATTCCTAATTTAGGGCAAAAGTAAGCTTATCTTCTACTCCAAATCATCCCATATAGACGACTTTTTACCCCTCAAATCGATTATCACGCTGCAATCACCCTCACCAGTTGTTGAAGTTCCTTCAGTAGTCGTTTCTGGATGTCGATTTTTATATTCTTTCATGTTCTTAGACACTGTGACCCAGATTATTATTAGGATTATTTTTCCTTTGAGTTCCTAGTGGAACATAGGAATTCAGTAGCACGTCGCCATTTCACTCTCTTCTCTCCAATCTTTACAACCTGGCTCCACCACTGCCCACAAGCTCTCATTTCTTCCTCACACCATCTCCTCCGTGTCACCCTCACCTCAAACGGCCGACTCGTCGTTTCCCATATGGGTCCCACTCGAGAAACTGGCCTGTCCTGCACCGTGATGTTCCCAATCGGTCTTCTCAGTCTATGTCCAATCCAGTCCATCTCCACTTTCTTCTGCATATTTGTTGGGCGATAGATTCTTGGTCGGTTCGTTGACAGTCAGCCAGAGTGAGTTCCTTGTTGCTTATCCTCATTATTCTGGCCACCTGATCTGATCTGATCTGATCTGATCTTCAGTATCAGTATCGAGTGAGTGTAGGTGGCAGCTGTTGATGTAATGTATGTCTGTAGTTTGTTGGAAATGCTGTTCGTAATGCGCCAAGTTTCTGAATCACCACATAGAAGCACTGACTTAACATCAAGATTGAAAATCTGGATCTTGTTCTTAGTGCTGAATGCAGTAGATCTCCACACTGATTTCAGATTAATAAAGGTCTGTCTTGCTTTTCCAATCGTGGCGTTGACATCCTCATCTAGGTCGCCTGTAGTTAGAACGATGCTGCTAACCTATGCAGGTGAAAGAGACTACTTCCGTTCATGGTGATTGGAGCTTGTTGGTGGTGCTGGTGGTGGTTGGGTATCTTCATCACTTCTGTCTTCACCATGTTCATTTGAAGTCCCATATTCGCTACCTCACCTCTTCCGTCAACTTGTTAGTTTTCGCCTGTACATCTTCGAGTTCGTGTGAAAAGACATTACACATAAATCATCATCGACGACGAAATCTAAATCTTCTAAGGTCTTTCCATCCGTCCAGCAAGCATATCCCACTCTTCTCGCTCCTCACATTCTAATGCATGATCCAGTCGAGTAGACCACAATCAGGTAGATGATCGGTGATAGTAGGTGTCAGCCTTGTCTTACTCCTGTCTTCACTTCAAACGCATCACTGAGCTTTCCACTGTGAATCACCTGGCATGTGGTATCTTCATACAGCAGTAGAATGAAGTTGATAAAGATTTGTGGCACTAGACACGTGGTGTTGAAGCAGCTGCCTGCAAAATTACTTCTCAGTCGACGCTGTTGAAGGCCTTATCGAAGTGGATAAATTTGAGGAAGGGAGTTGACTACCATTCTATACTCTGTTGTATGATGATGCGTAGTGTAGCGTTGAAATTTGATCCACACATGATTTGTTTTTCTTGAAGCCAGCCCTCATATGTAGCTAAAGGGTTCCTCTACTAGCCTACTATCACTGTGATTGAACAGATCCGCTGATTTTACCACTGAAGAAGTAGCCACCAAATTTTTACTCTCGTAAATTGCTTAATTGTCCCTTTGTTATTTACTTTGAAATTCACGTGTTCACAATAAGACAGTTCTCACTGGGCATTTTCATCTCTAATGCACATTAAGCTAGAATAGACAAAGTCAGAAGTTAAGTCAGTACTCAGTTGCACTAAAAGAGGTAAAATTTCCACTTCAATAAAATAAACATTTGTTTGAATGTCTAATAATGGATGGCACAAAAGCCAAAAGGGGCATTAAAACCAATAAATATACATTTAATAGTTAGTTTTTTGGAGGAAATTAAACTCTGAGAAAAGTTAGTTTGTGTTTGTTAGCTGAAGGCGATCGGCAGGAAGCCATGGACCTAGGTTTGGCGCCTGTTGTTATGCGTCAGCATGGCATATCTGCAACCCCTATGGAACTGATGTCCCTTATGAGATTCTAACCTGCGTTACTGAGTGCTGCAGTCAGTGACGTTACCACTGAGCTATTCATTTCGCGATTGACATCCTATAGTTTGTAATGCAGAAAAACTGAAGCTAAGTTTCACCCTAGTTTAAGAATAATTTTACTGAAAATTTGATTAGATTAATAAATTACTTTCATTCGCTTTACTCGCTTTTACGACTACTAATTAATAAGCAGCAGATTTCCCCATACAACTAGTAATGATTAGTTGTTTAATATATATTCACGTACAAAACAAATTGGAGAAAGCCACCAAAAATGCCCACGAAACATTTCATTTCTAGAAATCCAAGCGTACTTAGTAGTCCACCGCAGAAGCTATACTGACAGTTTCAACTGTGCCTATGCAGAAAACATTATAATGCCATGAATAACGAGCTCGAATCAAGTTGATGATTTCATTTTGTTTAAAAAGGAATTTGTTTCCGTGAAGTAGTTCCGGATCCCGTACTCAAGAAAACAGATTATAATGTGTTTCTCTTAAATTTCATACAAAATATTCTAGATCACGAGGTTCAAATGAATCACGTAGGTGTACAGCACAAATCTAATTAGATTGTTTCACATATTCTCAAAGAGGTGGGATTTGAAGTTTGAAATAGGACCATCTAGTTACTTTTAAACCATCTAGAGACATTTTCAGTAACACTGAACTTTTTATCTGAGTTGCGAGTATAAGCATTCTAAACTTTGAGAAGTAGCTTTATGCTACATGAATTGATCACATGGAAAACTTTCGTGTCGCTGCGTCCATAAACACTGAATCTATACCGGTGTTAGATTCTCCTATCATCTTTCCAGGCTTTACGCAGAGAATGCAATGCACACATAGATGATACTAATAAATTTGAAGTTAATGTATACCTTAAAAGGAACTAGCTGTGGCATTATTATTATTATTTACTTAATACCATTTTACTACATCAATTACTGGCGTACTTTTAAAAGACTTATCTAAGTGTTTAGGGCGATCAGTTTCACTTGTAAATTCATTGGCCGAATACATCATATTACTGACAGATTCGTACTGTGTTAGTAGAGCTGTGACCGCATAATATTCAAATGTTTTTCGGTCTCTTTATTCAGTACATAATCTACCGTTTCACAGTAAGGAAATAAACCAAAAGCAAAGGTGTATCTATAGTGGGTTTTTCTTTGTTAAACCGCTGAAGAACTCAGTAGTGAACAAGCAGAACAACTGGCCGGTGTTTAGACTAAACTAACCTACCTGCAAAACCATCACACTAGCTTCGATCGGACTGAATAAATTTGAGCCTCAAGTTTAACTATCACGTAACAGCTTATTTCCGAGCTCTCACTCCATGGTCTAGTTAAGAAGGTATTGTTCACTAAGCTTTTTAGTACAAGAGATAACTGTTTGAAAATTCACTTTGTATTTAAAGGTGTCGACTCAGACAGTGGAGTTTTTACTGCTTTGCATGTTCTGCATAAAAATGAAGTTTTTCACAGTAAATATTCACTATAAGGAAGACTTCTAATAATGTAGTCTACTTGGTGGTTAGCAGCAGAATCCAGGACGCGCACTTCGTCCCACCTTAGACTTGTCAGCTGGATGTACATGCAACCCAGTGAGTGATGTTGTTCCAGCTGAGACTTTAACCCAGTACCCGTCGATTCAAACTAAGGAGTGTTATCCCCTAGGCCAATGTGATACAACAGCCGCAAAAGCAAGAGAGTTCAATGGATAAAGCTTTAGTGTCTGACGCAACGGTTTTAGTTTTCGGTTTTAATGGGTATGATGTCACTAAATAGGGTGCAGGTACGTCCCAAAAAGATGAAATGAAGTTCCCGGATTTTCTTGCTAGCCATCAAGTAAACCCCAATACTTTGAATATTCCGACAGTATCGAGGCATTGGCATGACACCTCATCTGCCAATCGAGACCGAGTATTTTGACTCCATATAGCGACAGGAAGTTACAAGTATTAAACAATCAAGACTTCTGATAGTTTGTCACGAAAATACCTGATTTGAATAATGTAATATGTGTGGAAGATTGCAAACAGTACACTTATTGATGTGATACTGTAACCTATTAATCTTCATTTTAACTGTGAATAGCATCCTAACAAGGAAGCCGTAGTACTCATTAAGACATAGGAGTGAATGGAAAAATGCCAAGATCATTTTGTACTTGTTGAAAAATTCTCGGTAATTTGAAGGTA